GGGAGAGAGAGGGGCAGTTTGTGGAGCAGGCGTTAAAGAAGGCCGTCTTCTATCTCCGAGGCCTTGGGCTTGGCAGTTCTGTGTTTCAGCAGACACATCACGCGACTGAGCCACCCTGAACACAGACTCTTCCCAAGGTGTTTGTGAGAAGAGGGGCCTGGGGCTGCGCCTCCCTGAAAATTCCCTTTGTGCTGTGGAACGGGGCCTTGGGTCCACCGTCCCAGGTGGGGAAGCTAGAGGGTGGGGGCATGAGCAGGTTGCTGTGCTCGCAGAGGGGCAGAGAGAGACGCAGGATTTTGCAAAGCTGGAAAGAACCTTCTCAATGCACGAACGCCCATTTCCCAACTAACCCTCCAGCGTTGCTGACAGAAGGCCCTCGATGCTTGTTTGGATCCTTCTAGAACCAGGGGCTTACCCCAATGACATTGCTGAACTTTAGTGAGTAGATACTTTCTAGTCAGAGCAGTAGGACCAAGACAATTACCTTCATTCTCTTAGAGTCTGCCTTTAAAATGACCATGGGCCTTCTTGCTTTGTCCTGGTGATCTCTGAGGTCACACGCACGCACGCACACACACACACACACACACACACACACACACACACACACGGCGTCACCAGGAGTGGGACTCTGCCGGTGAGGCATTCTCTATTGAAAAAGGCCACTCAATGCGCATATTTGCTGCATGAGAAAACATCATTTGGGGCAAAATGATGGCTGAATGTTAGGGCATGCCGATGCAGTACACTGCCAGGTCAGAGCCAGGGATGAGACTAGGAGCCAGAAGCTCCACTTTCTACCCGCCACTCCTCTCGCACTGGGGAGCCCATCTGGCCCATGGCCTCCCTCACCATGAATGCCTGGATGATACCTGGAGGCCTGGATCTCTCCCCACCTGTAAGCCCGCTGCCATTGCACAGCCATTACCTTACAGGACAGAGTAGGGTTTCAGAGGCTGTACCACATTCCTGGAGCAGACAGCCTCATTTTCCCCCTCAGAGCAGCGATGGGGTTCACACTACCAGCCTTTTAGTCAATAACCCCAGGCTTCCCCTACCAGGCCACCAGGATTCTTAGTATCTTACTTAGTAGGGTTTTAATTCAAGAGTTTATGAAAATCCATACCAGAGCTGTTGTATTAAGAATGTGGGGCCAAATTCTCACACCACGACACTCCCCAGATGATTGTAGGTTTTGCAACCTACTGCCATAGTGGATGGCACATCGGGCTGTTGACCCCCAGGCCAGCGGTCTGAACCCGCCAGCTGCTTGGAGGGAGAAAGACAAGGCTTTCTGCCCTGAAAAACGATGTACCGCCATGGCCAGTGGTCAATCTGAGTCAGACTGGACTCGATGGCAGTGGCACTTTTAGGTGCCATTGAGTAGAACTAGCTGCTCCTTAGGGTGTCTGACTGAGACTGTACATCTTTACAGGAGAAGACAACCTCACGTTTCTCTCATAGGGCCACTGGTGGGTTAGAACCACTGACCTTGTGGTTAGCAGTCCTGTGATCAATGTACTATGCCATCAAGCCAGGGATCCTTTGTGTGTGTGTGTGTGTGT